ACTTGTAATCTGAACATTAGGGAGGCACATGCAGAAGGATCAATATTTCAAGCTCATCCTTAACCACAGAATGAATTCTAGGCCAGGATGGACTACATGAGATTTCGTCTCAAAACAATAACAAGACAAACAAATATGCATGTATTTTGTTTGTTTTCTGTTTTTTCCAGATAGGGTTTCTCTGTGTAGACTTGACTATCCTGGACTCACTTTGTAGACCAGACTTGCATTGAACTAAAAGAAATCTGTCTGCCTCTGCCTCCCTGAGTGCTGGGATTACAGGTGTGAGCCACTGTGCCCAGCTAAAATTACATGTTTAAAAAAGAGATTATGTAACTAAAAAAAAAAAAAAAAGATGAGCCCCATCTACATATACAGACAAGGCAAAGCACTCAGGGTCTATTATTAACTACCACTAGGAACAAGAAACTAAAATGTGATCTCTACACACCGTACACATGATCAGAAATACAGCAGTGAAATGTGCCTCAAAAAACATCACTCTGAGTAAAAGACCGAATAAGACAGAGAAAGAACTAGATCAATGCTAAGTAGCGATGGGGAAAGTAGGGAGCACTACTCATTGTGAGGTGTAATGGCTAAAGGTACTGGGATTTCTTCCTGGAGCCTACTTCCTTACTCCTCTGCAGGCCCTATGCTTTCACTGTTAGATGGCTGTGAAATTAGTTTTCTTCAAGCTCATACTGCCTTCTGGTTCCACACAACTATTCTCTGTTCATTTAAATTTACTTAGTTTTTTTTCCCCTTGTCTTTCAAAAGCATTAGTATACATTTAAAAATATTTAAATCATATTCATTTATTTACTGGAGGAAGGGTTGAGACCATGTGCTGCAGTATATATATATGTATGAAGGTCAGAAGCAGACTTGTAGGAGTCTGTTCTTTCTTCCAATATGTGGAATCCTGCACTCAAACTCAGGAGGCTTGCTACAAAGTGCCTTTACCTGATGAGACATCTTGCTGGACCCAGTGTATCTGTTTTTTTAAATATCCTCTTAAAAATATTTAATATGCATAAATGTTTTGTGTGCATATACGCAAAATTGTGTGCATGGCTGATGCCTGTGGAGGTCAGATGAGGGCATTGGACATCCCAGAACTAGAGTTATAAATGGTTGTAAGCCACCATGTGGGTGCTGGGAACTGAATCTAGGTCCTTTGAAAGAGTAACAAGTGCTCTTAACTGTTGAGCCATCTCTCCAGCACCACAATCTGCCACTCCCATCAGTTTTATACTCATTCATTTATTGTTTCTTTGAGACAGGTTTTCTCTGTGTAGCCTTGGCTGTCTTGAACTCACTCTGTAGAATAAGCTGGCTTTGAACGCACAGAGATCTGCCTGCCTCTGCCTCCCAGAGTGCTGGGATTATAGGCATGCATCACCATGCCGGGCTCTCAGTTTTATTTTTAAAAGAACCATTTTTGTTGAACAGCCCATCTCAGTATTATTCTTTAAAATGTTTACTAAACATATTGAAAACAGGTGTGCTGTCACCTGGGTTTGTTTAATTTCAGATTTCATTTATGAAACACAGGCAGAGAGAATTTAGTATAATTCTGAGGAGGCTTGGGTGCTTTTTTGGTGTATGGTGGGGCAGAGCTGGGGAACAAATCCAGGGATCATGTACATATCATGCAAGTGTTATCCCCTGAGCTTACTCCTGCCAGTAGTCATGTGACAGGTGGCTTTATGCTAAAGCTAGTCCTTATTTACATTTTTATAAAACCCAGACCAGGAATATAGGTCAGTGGGAGAGTGTTCGCCTGGCATACGTTGCGATGCCCCAAACCTAATACCCAGCACCACAAACACACCTAAAATACAAAAACCAAAGAAACCCTGGGCCAAAGGGAAGACAGGAATGGGAACTGCAAATTCACCTCAGTGTATAACACTTGCACGATACGTATACGATCCCTGGATTTGCCCTCCAGCTCTGCCCCACCACACACCAAGAAACTTCTGGCTCAGGTACCATAAATGGAAAAATGTTTTATTTAGCTTTCCTATAGTGGAATGGAATGGAGAATGTATCCCAATGTATATACCAAAAATAGATTTCCATTTGTTCAGCACTTTAAAACTCAGGTTCAAAACTGATGTCTCTAAGGACAGTCAAAGCACTGTTTTCTAAATTGGGAAAATTTAATTACTCCTAGTCAAGTATTCGTTAGGTCTCAATTTCTCTTTTCTTATGAATTTAGATAAATATGATTATTCTGACGTATGTCACAGAAGCATAAAAGTATGATACTCACACTTGGCATACAGACAGTCCATCATTGACTGCACTAAGTCCAGTTTGGCTTTAATGGAGAAGTTGATGAAGTTGGTATCAACGAGGATGTGGTAAGGTGGACCCAGCTGTGTATTATACTGGAAGAATAAGCAGGAAGGATGTTGGGGGCTGAAAGGAGTAAGAAAATAAGATCACAAACTAAAGTCTACATTGATAAGACTGATGTTAATGAAACCAAAATTGAAGTATCTGGGAAGGTTCACTACAGATAAATATCCTTTTCCCTTGTTCATTGCAAGTAAGAGTTTAAAAGAAGCCAGGAAAGAGGCTGAAGAGATGGCTCAGCAGTTAAAACATGTACTGCTGCTCTCACAGAGGACTACCTAGCACCAACACCACGTGTTCATAAACTGCCTGTAGCTTCAGGAGGTCCTATGCCACTAGCCTCCCTGACACTGAAACTCACGTGCACATGCTCACACACAGACATACACATGTCCACACACACAGACCCACTTATACACATAATTTTTTTAAAAAGGAAATCTTTAAAAAAAGAGAGTTAACAGCAAGTTTGCCACTCTCAAAATTCTACAATGGTTGTAAGGAATGTAAATAGATTGTCTAGTATTAGATCATGTATTATAGCAGAGCCTGTAACTCATCTAAAAATCCATGATGCTCAAGCATTATTGTGTGAACAGTATCTGCTATGACAATATAGCTTCCGTGAACCTGGAGCAGGTGGGAGATTTTTTTTTTTTTTCCATCAAGTACTGCTAGGATCACAGTCGTGCGCCACTGCCCCTGGAAAGCCTGGAATCTTAACATGGTTTTTAGAATCTCTTGGTTTTAATGGAAAACTTCAAGATTTTTTAATACTCACACTTCTCTTTCCTTCAGTGCACTGGGATCTTTCTTCTCTTTTTTTTTAGGCTTTAATCTATCCTTTTCTTTACTGCAAAAAAAAAGTAAATTCAGAGAAGAAAAAAATGATGTAGTTAAAATTTCACTTGGAAGTTTCACTTTGTTGAGGATGTCACTCAGTGGTAGAGTACTGGATTAGCATGTGTGAAATCCTAGCTTCAACCCCTATTACTTCAAGTTCCATTCTTTTTCTTTTTTTTTTTAAGCCACAAAAGAAATCCAATTTTGGACTTCATAACAATATCAACATACACTTTGACAGCAAGTAAATATAACAGGAAGTAGCCTAAAAATATCAAAATTAAGCAATAAGGCCAATAAACTAAAAAAATTGTTAATGAGTAAATTCTAATTATACTATAAACTTTTTCTTACTATTTCTCTTATCAATGATTAAAATTTAATTACAAGAGATGCCCATTACTCTCTTGTAATTAAATTTGGTTATGCTCAAACACATTATATACCTGTTTTAAAATGTCATAAGATTTATTGTTAGTATGCTAATAAAAATCCACTTCTAAGAGGCTGTGAAGAGGTTAATATTAATCTACTGAAGACTTCTGAATAGCTCCAGCTGCCGGGGAGGCAGAGGCAAACACAGCTCTATGAGTTTGAGGTCAGGTCTACATGGCAAGTTCCAGGCTAGTCAAGGCTACATAGTGAGACTGTCTCAATAAACAAAAAGCCAAACCCAAACAAAAAAGATTCAGATCACCAGTATAGGGGCAAAGTTTCTCCACATTCTTTATAAAGGCCTGAAACATAACACACATCTAAAATGAAGGCTTAACCACAAAAAAATTATCATTCCTAAAAGATAAAAACATAAAAATCCATATCAGAAGCTGAGAATAATAATTTTGTAGGCTTTAATGACCATTACCTTGTTCTGAGACTCTTACAAAGAAGAGCAGTCTTTATCTAATTAACAGTTCACTCAGCCTTTAGTGATGCAGGGAAACTGGTTGGGCCTTCTTCTTCCCCCAGACAGGATTTCTCCGTGTAGCCTTGGCTGTCCTGGAACTCACTCTGTAGACCAGGCTGGCCTCGAACTCAGGGAGTGCTGGGATTAAAGCGTGTGTCACCACCGCCGGACTTTGAATTATCATAATTTATAAAATGTAACTAACCATCTTGGAATTTTCGTATCCTCCCTTTTAAAGGTGAGTGTCAGGAACTGGAAATCGAAGACTCACATGGCGTGAGCTAACCGGCTTTTATAACCATGACACCTTGCTCCCCGCCCTCCAGAATGTGTGGATATAATTCCATGCAATACAGATCTAAGGCATAATAAGCAAAACAACAACGACAAAACAAATTTTACTACTTAGCCCATCGTGACTGCTGTATCTCTGGTCAGTTTAAGAAACCAGTTGGTTCTGGCCACTCACAGTCTCTCATCTCTGAGGCTAAGCATTCGCTTCATAGTCGCATATTTCCTCGTTTTCTTTTGCTTCCCCTTGAAACGGAAGTTTTCGAGTTAAGAGCTAGAAACTGCATCCTTTAAAGCTCCCTTCTAATTTTCTTGTCCCTTCTTTCCCCAAACAACGCCCAGCCCCTCTCCCTAAAGCAGAGGTCCCTTCCAGCAAAGACCAGCATGGAATAAACAGAACACACGGGAAGCGCCGAGGCTACATCTGGCCAAGGGCTGAGCGCCCATTCGACCCCCAAAGTGTGCTGACGACGTTCTTTCTCCCACTCCCCTCACCATGGTCACGCCGCACTCCTGCTTCTTCCGGAATCACTCACAGCGCGACACTTTTACATCATCCATATGCTGCTTCCGGCAAAGGCCAACCCGGAGGCGGAAGCCGCTCTGGGAAACGGAACAGCTCGAGCCGGCTCTTAGCGCCGGCTGAGCTCGACGCTGGGGGCGTTCGGGGGTTGGGCGGAGGGCAAGTTTTTTGCTGGATGTGGCCGCTGCCTCCACGGATCCCAGAACTAGGACTTGGCCACGCCGCAGCCCCAGCTCGGGTAACGTTTCCCTTCACGTCCCAGCCGAGGCAGAACCCAGCCGACCGGCTGGCACCAGAGTTGCAGAAAGCGAGCAAGCGGGGACGAGGGGTCGGAATCCTGGGCTGCCCCGTGGTTTGCCAATACATTCTGTTTATCATCCGGCACGTCAAGGCTCTGTAGTTCACTCCTGAGGCTCTGGTTGTTGCTTGGTTTTCCTTGATTGGCATGGCACTTAGTGAGGCTTGGGTGGACAATTCTTTGGGAAGAGAGGGATGTAACAGCGCTTGAGCACGCCCCTTCCCCCATCGTGTGTGTGTGCGAGCAAGAGTGTGCAGGTGCGTTCAGAGCAGAAGCCAGAGGAAGTTTGTTTTCTTTATACTACTGTCTATTTTTTTTTTTTAAGTCAGTCTGTCTCACCGAACTTGGAAACACCCCCAACTTCACCCGAGCTCGTTTGCTAGACTGTCTGGCCAGAAAGCCCCAGAGTTACTCCCGTCTCTGCCTCCCAGCACCGGAGTGACAGACACACACGTCTGGCTTGATTTCTACCCAGGTCCTGGGCATCCAAACTCAGGTCTTCTTGCCTGGTTTGCAAGCACTTTACTCACTGAGGCAACTACCCGAGTCGGGGCAGCCTTCTCTAGATGATCACAAGAAAACAGGTGCATAAGCTTGTATATGCAACTACCTACCACGCCTGGAATGCGATGGAACCATTGATATTTGTTGTGAAGTCTGGCGTGCTGTCCTTAGACGGGAGAGGGAAGATTTGTGAGAATGAGACAGATACCTTCCGCGGTGTTTGTTTTTCTTGTCTGGTTTTTGCTTTTAGTGCCTGCGCTGTATTCTAGTTATTTTTCACCGTCTAGAGAGATTTCTTTTACCCCTCGAAAGTCTGTGGAAGGCGATGGCCAGTTTTCCTGAAAATGGATGTGCGTTTGCATGTACACACACTCTTAACATGCAGCTTCTGAGGCTTCTAGACTATGTAAACTTCATTTCACTTGGCACTGTCACCTTCACAGTACCTCAAATACCTTTGCTTTACTGATATTGAAGCTTAGTTTGGTTCTAAAACCCGTGTTTTTCTTATTGCATGGATTTAATCTACAGTTTTGCTGGGTTAAAAAGATCTTCACTGTTTAACACCGCAAGACAGTGCATTGGTTATTGGACTCTGGAGTTTGGCTGCGGTTTAAACCCTCTTTAATGTTGCTTGCTTGCTGTATTCCTTGGGGCCATTCGTTGGTGCCTCTCTCTTTGTAAAGCTGAGATAATTTTCACAGTACCTGTATTACAGGAATGTCATCAGGACTTGTGTTTTCACACCCATAATCAGTAAGTCTCTAGAAAAACTCTTTTAACTCTTAAGTGTTTTCAGTCATTTCATGTTGGGTTTTTCCAACCTGAAATGTTATTCCACTTGCTTGTTAATATATATTTTTACTATCTTGAAACTTGAACAAAAACTCACTAAATATTTAGGTCTCTATAAGGGGTCATTTTGTGTTGATTTGGATGTAGAACTGATGTCCTTCCTGCTGTTCTCTTTTAGATACACACATGTGTTCAGGTCTCTCTGTAGTCACCTGTGGGTTGTGAATTTTGGGTGTTGAAATAATTTTATTATTGACACATCTTCAGAGATTTTCTGTTTCTCCTTCGTTACTCCCACTGGAAGTTCCTAATATTCACAGAACAGATTGTCTCTGCCCGGCTATCATTCCTGGGTAGAGTAGCAGCAGCAGTTTTGGTTTTGTTTTTAAATTGAAACATGTTAGTTATTCGGCATTTAGCCTTTTAAGTAAACATGGTCAATTATTTAAAAAAAAAAAATTGTAGACCGAGTAGAAAAAAGAAAGTGTTTCACCCGTGTACACTTTATTGCGAGCACTTGAAAAGAAAATTGCAGCTAGCTAAATTGTAATTTGCATTTAAATTCAGGCACTGACAGAAAAGCCCTTTCCTCCAAGTTTGAAATCCATGAACTGTATTTTTTTCCTTATTAAATTGGTTTGCAGTTTCTGTTCTGAGAACTTTCTGATTCTCTGATTGTTAACACTTGATAGGGAGCTAAATTAGTGTAGGAACACTGTGGGGGCAGAGCAGAGTTAGAAACTCGGTTTTGCTGCATTATAATTTAGTGGTAATCTGAGATTCTTAAAACCTGCGTTTAAAGTACTCAGCTGTTGTATAGCATCCTTTGATGGGGATGGAAAATAGCATGGCTTTGAGCGTGTTGGATAGAAGCAGAATAATTACTTTTGACTCCACGCTTGTGAGGAAAAGAACTCCTTTAACGCTTCTCAGCGGTTGAGAGGATCAGTGTGTATTTTCTGCAGCCCTGAAGAGAGAGAATCTCTGAGTCCATGTTCGAATACTTAGTTGACTTTGACTTGTTCTCTTTACTAATTGGTCTAAATACATTTGTAATAAAGTTATGGCTGGTGGAAGAGGCCCTGAGAACCTCTTGTATTCCAAGTTAATTTAGAGGTGTTATTTCTAATTTCAAACTACTACAGTTTCACACTTGTCTTCATGGTTCATATGTTCTTCCCCCAACAAACATTTGATGCTGTTAATTACTTTTTTGCTGTTAATTACTCTTTAATTTAGCTTGACTACCTTTAAACAAGGTAGCTGAGCTAGAGAGATGGCTTGGTGGTTTTTTCTTTTTTAAAGGTTTATTTATTATTTATACAACATTCTTGCCTGCACACCAGATCTTACTATAGATGGTTATGAGCCACCATGTGGTTGCTGGGAATTGAACTCAGGACCTTGGGAAGAGCAGTGAATGTTCTTAACCTCTGAGCCATCTCTCCAGCCCAGCTTGGTGGTTAAGAGCCAACCAGGAGTTGCTGCTATTCCAAAGACCCAGCTTTGGTTCCCAGCCCCACATCTGACAGCTCACAACTGCCTATAACTGTAGCTCCAGAGATTTTGATACCTTCTTCTGGCCTTCATCACACACACCACACACACACACACACACACCCACACACACACCACAGAGAGACACACATAAAATTTAAAAAAGCTTTAAAATGTAATAGAGGATACAGCATGTGTCCTAGGACTGGTTTAAATGACACTTCAGAGGGACATTACTACTACATATTTATTCACAAGGCAGTGTGCTGGTCAATCTGAAAAAATAAACAAAAAACAAAAACCAGCCTCTGTCAAAGAATGACTTGTAAATAGTTAAATATTATGGCAAGTGGTCAACTAGAGGTATATAAATTCAGATTTACATTTATTCATAATATATATATATAGAGAGAGAGAGAGAGAGAGAAATTATTGCACTGTTCAGCCTTCTGGAAGTATCCTGGCTAGAGTATTGCTCTGTAATGTTTATTTACTATAGTCAACATACCCTATAACAGTTTGAGTTTTGTAATGTAGGGAGTTCTTTTTTTTTAATTACATTTTTATTTTTTTTAATATTAGTTTATTTGCATTGTATCCCAGGTGTAGCCCCCTCCCCCATTCCCTCCCAATTCCACCCTCCCTCCATCATCTCCTCCCTGCCCCTCTCTAAGTCCACTGATATGGGAGGTCCTCCTCCCCTTCCATCTAGGGAGTTCTGTAGTATATTGTTTTACACACATACACCCCTTGTGCCTTTTTAAGACAAGGTCTGGTTATCACAGGCTGGCCTCAAACTGGAAGACAACTTAGAACTTGATTTTTTTGTTTGTTTGTTTGTTTGCTTGTTTTGAGACAGGATCTCTCTACATAGCCCTGGCTGTCCTGGAATTCATTATGTAGACCAGGTTGGCCTGGAACTCCCAGAGATTCACCTCCCTCTGCTTCTGAAGTACCGGGATTAAAGGTGTGCTCCACCATGCTCTGCCACCTTGAACTTCTTGATCCTCCTCCTTCATCCTCCTGAGCAATAGGACCGCAGGTGTGCACCACCACACCCAGTTCGAGCACTGCTGCAGATCAAACCTCAGGCTGGGCAAGCAGTTCCACCAGCTGAGCTACAACCCGAGCCCTCATTTTACCTCTTCAATGGTTCTAGCCATTGATTTTCTTAGGTTTAAGTTTCAATTACTATTTTTGGTGCCGTTTTCTTTAAAGGGTTATTAAGTGCATAGCCTGCATTTTTTTATAGAGTAATGTTTCCAAACTTCTGAGGTAGTTTACATGTTGTAGTGCTTGTGTCTGTATTTAGATGTGTATGCTTTGCTAATGCTAATGCATTTGTTTTAGTGCAGTTGGTTCTCAGTGTTAAAATGCTGATACTAATTGCATTTTGTGTTCGTTGTACTTTCTGGCCAGAGTAGATAACGGTAGTTTAATAATAAGCAACATATATTTGTGTAATGTGGGGATAGTAGTAACCATTTGTTAATAGCTAATACAGATCCCTCAGTCTTCTGCAGAGATCCAGGACCTGTTCTTTTAACCCTCGTCCATTTTGGAATGTTGAAATGCAGGCATTGCCTCTGGTGTAAATGGTAAAGCTATTTGGGAGAAAAAGCACCTGAGACCTCCTGAGTGTGAAGCAGTTTTTCACATAAGATGTAGAAGGAAATGCAAATGGGCAAATAGTATGCAGAAAGGAGTACAAAAATACTTAATAAAGTGTTTTAACCTTGCACTCTTTGACTCAGAGCAGTGATTGGGGAAGCAAAATAGAGTGTTCTTATCTGCTTTTCATCCGGCTTTTTCTGATGTTAACTTCTTACATGTCCATGGTACATATGTCACATCTAAAAACTTAACATTGGTAGAATATTATTTACTAAACTACAGACTTTTGGATATCACAAAAATTTCAGCTCACCTTTTTCTGTGCAGAATCCAATCCAGGATTCCACATCGCAGTTAAACTGTGTGTAATTGTTTTTTTAAACAGGGTCTCATTATGTAGTCTTTGTTAGCTTGGAACTTGCTATCTATAGCTTCAGATTTGTCAGGAATGTTGTTCTGAATGTGTACGTTTTGAGCTTTTCTTCATAATACGTTGGGAGTGATGGCAAATGACTGTAATCCCTGAATTT